AGACCAGTATCTGCCAGATAGTGTTATATGATGTTTTCAGATATTATTAACATTTTTCTCTTTTATGTCCTTTTCCTCCAAATGCCTATTCTTTGGATGCTTTAAGTCAAGAAACTAGGTTACAGGTATACAGTAGCTCACTGTAGTTTAATGCAGGTGTCCGCAGACTATGACCAGCGGCCAGGTGCTCTATGAGCTAACAGTCTTTACATTTTTAAAGGATTGTGAAAAAAGAAAGAAAGAAAAAAGAAGAATGTGCAAAAGAGATAGTAAATACTTTAGGCTTTGTGGACTACATACCCTCTGGCCCTTTATAGAAAAAGTTTGTTGGCTGTTGGCTTAATTTGTCTCCCCTTTCAAATATGTTTAGGATTTAAAACCACCATGCTATAAACACCAAGGACTAAATTTCTAAGGGTGGAATTTGAAGAAATACTGTAATTAGGAAGGGAGATAGTTTTGCACAAGGAAGATTCTATTCTATTTCGTGAATATTTGCTCCTCTGCTTTGTGGTAAGATCACTTTTTTCTTTTTTTTTTTTTTTAAAGATTATTTATTTATTTATTTATTTGACAGAGAGATAGTGAGAGCAGGAACACAAGCAGGGGGAGTGGGAGAGGGAGAAGCAGGCTTCCCGCGGAGCAGGGGCCCCCATGCGGGGCTCGATCCCAGGACCCTGAGATCATGACCCGAGCCGAAGGCAGACGCTTAACGACTGAGCCACCCAGGTGCCCCACTTTTTTCTACCAGTGATTAAGAATGGCTTCACAGTAATTGAAAGCATGGTACTATAGGATCAAACAACCCAAAAGGTACTTAAACTCACCAGGCTGAATGGGATCTCAAATGATTATTGTGTTTCTCTCAGCCAACTCTGTCATGCTGTTGGTGGCAGTCTAACTACTGTGGGAATCTGGGATCATATCAGGTCTGGAATCAGCAAATTTGCCAGACTAAGTACTCAGTTCCTTGCCGTAGCCCTTGTGGTAATGAGTGTGGGAGTGGGAAGGCTGACTCAAGGATCTCTCTAGACCCCAGTCAGGCATATTTCAGAGAAAGAAAGTTGCCACTAGTCAAATCTTTAGATTTCAAAAGAAATTCAAGGTTGTTAAAAAGCAATTGTTTTTGAAAAGGGGGGAAATTAAGCTAAGTTGTTTGTTGGGGTTTTTTTTTTGGTTGTTTGCAAACAGAAAGAGTGTTAACCTGTGATTATCAGGGTAACTTTATCTACTGTTTTACTCAGCAGTAAGCAATTTGTAGCCTTTCCATGTGTTTTCATAAGCACACAAGATAACCTCAAGCAAGAGAATGGGAGAAGAGACATGATGTTCCTCTGAGGACTTCAAACTACACTGGTAGGAAGCTGGTAGGTCTGTCTAGGAAGTTGCTGTGGGGTGGGGGTTGCATTTGTCTATTGAGTCCAGGAGTCTGGGTATTGCTGTAGAGGGTGGAGGGTGGGGAACTAGAGAGCTACTTCCTTTCTGACCTTAACTGGGTCTGCTGAGATTCAAACATGAGTGGTCAACCAAGGGGCTGTGGTGTGCCAAAAGCCTATCTGCATGAAAAACTAAGGATACTTCCTGGGCAGAGCGGGTCAGGCAGACACTTTTGACATAGTGAAAAAAAACCCTTAATTATAAAAGGGCAGAGGTGCTTCTGAATATAGCATAGATTCTGTACTCCGACTTGACTTTCATCTCACCGCCAGAGTGTCTTAAGTCCTACTTGGGGAGGGAGGGCGCCAGAGTCCCTACTTTCCCCTGCAACAGACTTTTGGATGAAAAAAAGAGGGAGGAGATGCTCCAATACAGACTTGGCAACTTTTTCTTTTCTCAAGTAAAGGCATTTAAAAACACATATGCCATCTAATATTACCATGGTTTCAGAAAAGAAAATTGTAAAAGGGATATATAACAAAACAAATTTAACTTAAAAATTTGATTACTTTAGACTTTATAAAAAAACTTTGAAAGACAACTTTAGAACAGCTTCTAGTGAGACAGGGCAGGGACTGGACTTGGGTCTCCTCAAACCTGACCGTGAAATCTAGCTTTCCTGGACAGCTGAAACCCTATGCCTCTTGAGTAGTATATCTTGCAGGAATGTGGAAGCAGGATGATTACCTCATGGAGGGACTGAACTATGAAGACAAGAAAGACTGAACCAAACTAGTCTGCACCCAGGTGGACCCCCCGCCCTGACTTTTCACCAACTATTCCCCTCATTATAATACTAAAACCTACACACATGGGTGGAGATTTAACATGCTAAATAAATAGACTTGTGACATGTGAAGAAGCATAAATTTTAAGTGTGCAGGCACCAAGAAATCCCTGACTCTATATGTCTCGACATCACTCCTTTCTCTTTTTAGTCCCTTTAAAAAACTTTCCCTGGCCTATATTAGGGGACTCAGTCTGAAGAACTCCTTTCTTTGTGCTGTCTCCCTTGTGCTCCAGAATAAGCCCCAATAAAAGCCTTGCCTGGAACTTTCTTTTGGCCTCCAGTCAATTCCTACTGTTTAGAGAGCCCAAAGACCAAGTGAGTGACACTAGGAAAAACACCCCTCCACCATGTTGCAACTACTTATCCCTTTTGTTCTCTGTTTCTTCATCATTGCTTACTCCCTGCCTCTGGTCTTCTACCACACACAGCCCTCCAATGTTTCCAACCACACTTCTTCTTAATTATATCAGCTTAGTAGGGCATGGATCAGCTATGGTCTTGGGCAGGTCAGATGAGGGGAAGCATGCAGAGCAGCAGACACTCAGGCTGAGTGAGACCTATCAAGGGAAATAAGGTCAAGGAGGGCAGGGGCTTTGGCTTGTTTTCCGCTATATCCCCGATTCTGAAAACAAGGTCTGGAATATACAGGTGTTTAACAAATGTTCACCGAACCAATGAATAAAATACAGGCAAGGTATATATAGGTTATACTGTAATACACCACTAATGACAGTGAGGTAGTAGTCACTGCCTTACTGGAGGTAATGACGACATTTCACAAATCATTAAATATTAAACCTCTTTGCAGAAATAGGAGAAGGAAAAAAATTGCTAATACACCATGCTAATCCAACCATCATTATACCTTTGCTGCTATTCTTCTCAGTGTTTTATAATATGCATTTAAAATTTATTTGTAATCAGAAAATTTTGGATAGGAAATACAGCACTTATTTTCAAAAGAACCAATCTCCTTTACCCACACATATCACTAAAAACAAACTTAAGTGATGTTGCCTAAGTAAGTCTGAACTAACCTTTGGTAATCTATATCAGTGCATGTGGTATAAATCATAGAAGACTTACTGGTTAAGGAGGTATAACACATGTATTCTCTTGCTGACTTCTATTGTAAGGGTTTCAATGTCTTATCGGCAAAATGAGAGGATTCATAATGAGGGATTCATAATCTCAAAGGTCTTCTTAAGTCTGAAATTCAGTGATTCCTAGAATAGATTTTATTGTTTAACATTGATTGTAAAGTAGCTTATAAATATAATATTTATATATTTATGCATGTCAGTTTATATATTTATATATGACAGTAAATATAAACTCAGATATAAGAGCTCCTTCCATGCAGAAATAGATTTTAGAAATTCACATAAAGACCACTTCTAACATTTCAGGACTACTTTTTACCTGGAGGGACAGCAGTGAGTAATTTCACTTACCAGAAAGGCTGATTATTGGTAATTTAAAGTTCCAAAGGTAAATCTTTACCCTTATAAGCCAATAAAACAGAAAATTAATTCAAAACAAAGTGACAACATACCAGCTAGCTCCTAGTCTAAGGGACAGAGTGAAGATAAAACATTAATTGGTGCAGAAATGAGATAAAGAAAAATTTATGATATGCTCCTACATGGAGTAGGGTAAAGCAGGACATTCTTCCTTGCAGTAGAATTCAGGATCAACCCTCTCCCCCACTTTTTGTTTTTCTCAAGACCAAATCACTTCCTCTGGAAAATAACCTGGCAGTTTGAGGATTATTTCATTAATTTAGATATAATCTTTCTTCTGGAGAATTCAGCGGAATTGCTTTGAACTGAAGTTTAATCTCCATTGCTACCACCCCCAGTCAAGTGAGAATGACAGGACCAGGAAGATTTAAATAAACAACGCCTTCAAGGGTGACAAAAATGCTTCTGCTGTGGAGATTTAAGTTTCTGTTGAAACTTTAAATAGCCTAGTCTCGTCACAATTTCAGAAGCAGCATAAATAATTCGTGCTGCAAGCTGTTAAATCGAAGTATATCAACACTGCTTCCTAGCCTGAATGCTGAAGCTGAATTAGCACTAGCGGCCACACTCCAGGATTTCCAAGGTAGCTCAGGAAAGAAAGAGAATCTGGGACTCTTCAGGAGCCCCAGATTGCACGCGTCTTCCGACACCAAACGCCAAGGTGTTTACCAGCATATGTTAACGATATTAATAAGCATAATTACCCTACCAGGTTGCAAAATTCATGTATATAATAGCGACTTTCCTACCGCACGTCGCCAGCAGGCACTCGATCTCTGCAGCCACCCTCGGCCACAGGTCCGGGCTTCGGGGAAGCCCATGGTCCCGCCTCCCTCCAAAACCAGCCCGAGGCCGCCTGTTCCCCGAGTTCACCACGGTCTCTTGCCGCCCCCTGCTGGGCTCTTCGCGTCAGGCTTGCAGAGGGCTGCCGCGCGGCCGCCGGGGGGGCGCAAAGAAGGCGACGTCACCTCTACGCGACCGGAAGTTAGTCTTGTTCATTTCCGCCTCTACGTCCCGCCCCAGGCCGTAGAGGCGGAAGTAAAGCCATCTACCGAATATTAATACAGTCCAGGTTGAGGTCTGTGGCTGGCTGCGCTTATGCTCTTTCTTTTTAGAAGTGGGTCTGGGTGATTTTGATGTATGGTGGAGTCCCCTTCCCGCGCAGCCCTTGGCGAGTCGGTTTTGGGGAGGAAGGGGGAGCGGGAGAACCCATGGAATGGAACCCGTGTAATTACTATATTAACTTAAGTGAGCTAATACAAACTTGTGACAGAGTTCTGCCTTTTTCCCGATTTTCTAATTTTAGGAATAATCCTTACCTTTTAAGTTGTGGGGTTGAAGTAAGACAGTGTATGTGAAGCACTTAGCTCCGGTTTTACAAACAATGCGTGATTACGCCACCTTTTCCCATTAATACTCGGGCGTGTTCTTGCCGTTTTCCTCTCGGTATCTCTGAGAGATGCTTAGTACATAAGAGGTGACGCTTTTCACAAGGACGTTATGCAGTGTTAGCTGGGATCGATTTCTTTATTCTGTATCACGAAGTGCTGACAATATTTCGTCCTCCACCCCCCTGCCTTTTTTTTTCTTTTTTTCTTTTTTTGCCATTTTTAGGGACAGCTGTTTTCCAGCTCTTCAGGAGAAATGCAACATCCTCTCTAAGACAGATTAGGTAAGAAATGGATTGCTGTAAAGATCTCCAAACTTCCCTTGTTTTATCAAAAGAGGACCAACTGGAATGTAGTACCCTGGGACAGTGATTAGCCATCTCCATTAAAAGTCCCTTTATCAAGCGAATTGTGCAGCAGAGAACAAGGAAATCCTCTTTTATTCCCCAGGCCTTACAAGTTATGAGTACAGAGGTTTTCAGTGTATTTGTTAATTTTGGAATTTAGTCCTTGGAATAATGGTTTTGGTTAATTAAAGAGTGAATGGAAAGATTTAAATAAATTAGGGAATATTATTTTTGAAATCTGTAGATTGAGACAGTTGATACTTTTTGCATTAGGCTGCTTATGTACATATTACCTTGCTAGATGTTATAGGAATGTTTTGAATGTTGATCAGGTGCTTAACTTTTTTTGTATTGAAAACTGAAGAACTGATAAAGGTCACATATTTCCCAGTACTTTTTGTACCCCTAAGCCAATTTAATTTGTTAATTGATCTGGTTGCAAAATAACATGTTTATTAAATAGTATCACAGTATTTCAGGAACAGTACATGGCCCCCATTAATCTCTCAGAGAAAACTCTTACTGCCTTTTTACTTTCTTTTTTTTTTTTTTTAAGATTTTTATCTATTCAGCTGAGAGAGAATGAGATAGAGAGAGAGCATGAGAGGGGGGAGGGTCAGAGGGAGAAGCAGACTCCCCGCCGAGCAGGGAGCCCGATGCGGGACTCGATCCCGGGACTCCAGGATCATGACCTGAGCCGAAGGCAGTCGCCCAACCAACTGAGCCACCCAGGCGCCCCTTACCTTCTTTTTATATATTAATGTCCCCCCCCTTATATAAGTGATATTATTTTATCTGTACTGTTATGTGGTTTGCCACTTAGAATATCTTGGATATCTTTCCATTGTGTTAGATATGCCTCTTTTTATTTTTTTTAATTTTTATTTTTGTAAAGATTTTATTTATTTATTTGACAGAGAAAGACAGCGAGAGAGGGAACACAAGCAGGAGGAGTGGGAGAGGGAGAAGCAGGCTTCCCGCGGAGCAGGGAGCCCGATTCGGGGCTCAATCCCAGGACCCTGGGACCATGACCTGAGCCGAAGGCAGACGCTTAACGACTGAGCCACCCAGGCGCCCCAGATATGCCTCTTTTTAAAAAAATCAGGTTGTATAGTATTAATATTACATAGATGTATCACAATTTATGAATCATTCTGTTGGTGGGTTTCTTTTCTGTTATAGCAAATGATGTTAGGATAGTCATCCTTTTTAATAACAAATGTGTATTGTCCTTTTATTTCTTTTGGATAATTTTAAAGAAGTGAAAATGCTGGTTAAAGGATATGGTGGATGGTGCCAAATTCCCTTCCAACAGTGGTATTTGAGAATTTCCTGCATTTCCTCACATGCTCATCAACAGACCGCAAGCAAGAGAGAGCAGGAGGAGAGGGGAGGGGCAGTAGGAGAAGGAGAAGGAGACTCCCCACTGAGCAGGGAGCCTGACACAGGGCTTGATCCCAGGACCCTGGGATTGTGACCTGAGCCGAAGGCAGACGCTTAACTGACTGAGCCACCCTCATGCCCCTGGTTTTAGATTTTTTAGTAATAAGTGATAAATGATTCACTTCAGCAGTATTTGTTAAGTTAAAGATTTGTGGGAAGGTAGTATTTGAATGAGACCTTGTACTATGGATAGATATGGGAGGATGGGCCTTTCTGAAAGAATAGCTTCCACAAAGGCAAGAAGACAAAAATGGGCAAGAATGTTTAGAATTTGAGGTTTGAGAGGCAATAATGCCTCGTGTTGTGAGGTTGTAGAATAGAGCAGATAGCTAGGAAGGTAGTTGGAATGGTGTGGTGAGAGTTTTGAAGGTGAGTGTGAAGATTTTGCTTTCTAGGGGAGAGCAATAGAGGTCTTTAATCAGGGAATAAGGGATATAATCACTTCTTTGTTTTATAGGTATACTATGGTGGCAGTTTTTCATGACTGATGTTAGAGAAGCAGGTTAGGTGGCTGTTATAGTCTGGGTGAGGGAGAACAGCAAAGAGTAGAGATGCTAACGAAGATACTGAAGAAGCTGAATCTACATGATGTAATGACTTTGGGGTTGAGGAAGAGGAAGAAAGTAATCACTTAGATTTTTATCATGAGTGACTATTATGATCAAGTGGTAGTGATTCTATTCATCAGAAGAGAGCTAGTTTGGGGGCTGGGAAAGATGTTCAGTTTGGTTTTAGACATGTTAATTCATGTGGAAGATATTTCCGCAGCGAGTGAATTATACATAAGACATAGATTCAGGAGAAACCTTAATAGATTTATGACTCCTTTGTTAAGAAATTTGGCATATATTTTCACTCTTAGTCTGTTATTAGTACAATTCCTTTTGAACTTTCTGTGGCTTGCTCAGCCTGTTTGTCATGGTGCTAATCATCTCAAGAGTTTGTTGTCTGGAGTAGTTGTCTTCAGACTTTTGATTGTGTACACTCTCAGTAAAAAAGGTTTTATACATGTACCTCCAATGTATATTTACTTACTAATTATATACATGTTTTACAGTACTATTATATTGTACATTTAAAACACATAAAATGGAATTTTTAAAAGGCTAAGACAGATACAAATTAGAGTGTCACTGCTTGCTTCCTATATCCCATTGGATCATCTTTCACCCCTATTCCCAAAGCACAGGTCTTACCTACCACTGTCAGTGTTATGTACCGTTATCCAGTAGAGGTCACCCTTGCGTATCTGGAGGAGAGAACAGATTGTTGAGCTGTGCAAGTAGAGCCTTCATTCTGTAGTTCGAATGAGGATCTTATTTTTCAGTTTCTAAATTCAGCATTTTTGGAAGAAGATGTGGTTAAAGAGTAGTATGTGGAATTATGGAGCGATACAGAATAGTGAACTCAGGGTATGGGGCAATCTAAAATGTGCTGCTGTTTGATGTTTATTTTGTGAGTGTCTTGCATTTTTGTTTGAATATTATTTGATTCTATAGTTTGGGAATCTTTTTTTAATTCTTTGAAGATCTGTAGATTACCTGGGGTATCGGAGAGTTCCCTGCCTGTAGGCATACTCTTAAATTCTTGTTATATTGGTGTAATTAAGGGATGGGTGGCTGGCTCAGTCGGTGGAGCGTGCGACTCTTGATCTTGAGGTTGGGAGTTCGAGACCCATGTTGGGTGTAGAGATTACTTAAAAATAAAATCTTAGAAAAAAATAGTGTAGGGCAGACACAGAGAGGCTTTCTTTGATACTGATCTTGAAAGCAGTATCTCAAGCCCAGAGATATTAGTGGTGAGTTGGAACCATCTATTTCTATTTTTTAAGATTTTATTCATTTATTTGTCAGAGAGAGAGCACAAGCAGGGGGAGCTGCAGGCAGAGGGAGAGGCAGGCTCCGATTCAGCCACCCAAACGCCCCTATTTTATGTTTAATTGGAGAGGTGAGAAGGGAAATGCTTCCTTTAAGTGATAAGAGCCCATGGTTAGAAATTAAGAACTAAGTTTGTCACAGCTATATAGTCTAAAGAGGAAAAAGTACAATTAAAAAATATATGTGTTTTATGACTCAGACCACAATTAAAGAACATAAATCATCTGACAAATTGAATAACAGAAGAAAATTTTTCTGTTGCTTTCCTGATAAAGTATTTCCTATAAATGCAGATACTTATTTTAGTAGGTACCTATGGTTATTATCATATATAAATTCATACATTTTGGGCCCCGTTTCTAAATGATTAGGAAAATGAGTTATTGAGGTTTTAGTCACTTGCCTGAAGTTATGTGTTGTGAAACAGATGCAGAGAGCCCTGGGTTCATCTTTTATAATGTGGCAGGGTAGAGGAGGATGGTCAAAGTAACTCTTCATTGTTTATGTGCTCTCAGCACAGTTCCACGGTGTGGATTAAATAGCGCAACTAGATCATTTTGAAGATAAAAATTGGTTTGGGGTAGCTGGGTTACAACCCAGGGGGTAATAGGGTAAACTGAAGGACATGGAGATTGAGATTGGGAACTGTTGACCAGAGGTCTATATAAAGCTAAGAATTAAGACTAATGATAGCATGGGTTTAAAGAGAACCATGAGTCTAGAAAAAGGTGTTTAAGGTGGAAATTAGATAGTCTGAAAGTGTTGATTTTCAAGGCTATATTTAGAGTTTGAGGAACCAGGAAAAGGGAATAGGGGCAAAGTAGTCTGGTAGCTAAGGCAGAGGCAAGGCCAGAGATCTGGGAAGTTGGAAGACAAGGCAGAATTGAAAGCATTGGTTAGTAGGAATAAGCCAGATGTTTGAAAACTAGGAGGATAAAGCAGAAGTAGGGAGGTTCAACTGGTTTTGGGTAGCAAACATAGGCAAGTCCAAATATAAAGAGCAAGATAAAGGTGGGAATAGCTGTGGATCAGTGATGATGCTTATAATGTTTTTCTTCACATTAAGAATGGAAGCAGCCCCAGGCCCACAGATAATCAGAAGCAGTGAACTAGAGAGTGGGAGTGTGGTGGTTGAATTGTTACTGCAGCACCTGGAGAGCTGGAGCTATACATATTTTCTTACAGAAATGACCATGATGCTTATAGGACCTTAATATGGTTTTTAGCTGTTTAACACATGCATTTGTATAATATTATGTATGTTGTTTTACACAGCGTTCCAAAAGGTTTGGGATACCTGACCATTATGGCACCAAGAAACTTCTTGTCTATGAGAAGTAACTTTCTCTTTGGTTCAAGATGTTGGATGATCCGATTTTCAGCAGAAATCCTCCTTAAAACAGTTTCATTTAGGCTTTTTAGAGTGAAGTGTGGTAATGCAGACAGGGAGTCTTTGGAGAATGAAGAATTACTGAATAACTTACTTACAATGGGAGTAGACATTGACATGGCGAAAAAACGACAGCCTGGAGTTTTTAATAGGACGGGAACTAAAGAGCAGGACCTGAAGATGTTCCTTCTGTCCAAAGGAGCTAGCAAAGAAGTGATTGCTAGCATTATATCAAGATATCCACGAGCCATAACACGCACACCTGAAAGTCTTTCAGAACGGTGGGATCTGTGGAGAAGAATTATGACATCAGACCTTGAAATTATAAATATTTTGCAACGTTCTCCCGAATCTTTTTTTCGGTCCAATAATAACCTAAACTTAGAGAATAATATAAAGTTCCTGTATTCATTTGGATTGACCCATAAATGCCTTTGTCGATTATTGACCAGTGCTCCACGTACCTTCTCCAACAGTCTAGATCTGAATAAACAGATGATTGAATTTTTGCAAGAAGTCTGTTTGTCTTTGGGTCACAATAAGCCCAGAGATTTTGTTAGGAAGATAATTTTAAAAAACCCTTTCATCTTAATTCAGAGTACCAAACGGGTAAAAACTAACATTGAGTTTTTACAGTCAACTTTCAACTTGAATGGTGAGAAGCTGCTTGTTCTGCTCTCTGGTCCAGGAGCTAAAATTCTAGACCTTTCCAATGACTATGTCAACAGAAACTACACAAATATCGAAGAGAAGCTGTTTTTTCTTGGGTGTACTAAAGAAGAGATACACAAGTTTATTTTACGCTATCCAGATGTGATATTCTTGGGAGAGAAAAAGTTTAATGATAAAATAGACTGCCTCATAGAAGAAAAATTTAGCATATCACAAATAATTGAAAATCCTCGGATTTTGGATTCAAGCATAAATACTTTAAAAAATCGAATCAAAGAATTGGTAAATGCTGGCTATAACTTCAGTACATCAAACATCGCTCTTTTATCTTGGAGTCAAAAAAGATACAATGCTAAGTTGAAAAAGTTAAACATTGAATAGAACATTGTTCTGGGAAATTAAAAAGTGTCAGTCTTAACAATGTAGTGATACTTCATTTTGAATTTGGGCCTTTCAAAAAGGAGAATTTTGGTTTCTTAACCATATATACATAGATAGTGATCCTTTGGATATTTTATTTTAAAGGTTTGTAAAAACTCATGGTCAGTATGTTCCAGTATAGTCTTCCCAGCCAGCTACCTTTTCTCTAGTTTGAATTAATACAACATCCGGTTATATGCTACAGGCTGTGACTGTCATATGAATAGTAGTTCCTGAGTGCCAGAGTGGAACAATATATAGAAAGAAAGTACAAAATAAGTTTTTATGGTTTCTGTTCAGATTAAAAAATCAACAGATTCATTTGGACAGTTCTGTTTCCTCTTGGGGTCTTGAATTGCAATTGATTTTTCCTGTTACAGCCACATATCTAATTGTGGTTCATCTTCAAAATAGAATGGCAGTAAAAATCTGACAAACCAAAAAGGAGGGCTTTTCATCTCAAGTTCTGCATTCTTCATTTAAACCATTAGTATGTTCCTCTTTCCCTCCAAGGTAGGCTCAGTTTACTGTGGGTATATCCTGATTTCTTTAAAGGCAATGGCAACTATGATGGGCAGAAAAATGGCCACCCAAAGATGTCAGTGTCTTAATTCCCAGAATCTGAGTGTGTTCTGTTACACTGGAAGAGGATTTTGCAGATGTAATTAAGTCAAGGACCTTATGACAGGGAGATTATCCCAGATTATCTGTGTGGGCCCAGTGTTATCATATGGGTCCTTAAAATGGAAGAGGGATGCGATGTAAGGACTTGACCCTATTTACTGGCTTTGAAGGAGGAAGGGACCATGAACCGAGGAATGCAGGTAGCCTCTAAGAAAATGGGAAAGGCAAGGAAACATTCTCCCCCTGGTGCCCCCAGAACGGAACACAGCCCTGCTGGGACCTTGAATTTAGCCCACTGAAACTTGTCAAACTTCTGACCTACAGAACCATAAGAGAATAAATTTGTGTTGTTTTAAGCCACTGAATATGTGACAATTTGTTACAGCAGCAAATAGGTGAATATAGCAACTAAATAGTGATTAGTTGCATTATAGGTGGAGGAGTCACAATATATGGTTTAGTATATCTGTGTTTTTCCTCTTTTTTTTTTTTAATTACCTGTTTTATCTGCATACCTTTCTGGAATGACTAGCAAGTTGTTTGTAAAGACTTCTAAATGTCTGTGTAAAAAAATGAAATGTAAGTAATAAAATCTAAATAAAGGAATATTTTTACTTAGTGTAGTTTAAAGAAATGGTTATAGTTTCTGTATTTTTTTTTTTAAAGATTTTATTTATTGACAGAGAGACAGCGAAAGAAGGAACACAAGCAGGAGGAGTGGGAGAGGGAGAAGTAAGCTTCCCACTGAGCAGGGAGCCCAATGTGGGGCTTGATCCTAAATGATTCCTCAAAAAAACTTTCTCCTGCCACTGATAGAAACAAAATGCCTGTTTTTTCAAGGCCATTTGATGTCAGTGATACTTAAACTTATTGCCAGTACACTATTTGATGGCAAGCATGGCATGGTTAAGAAAACATTGGCTTTAGAGAGACACTTCTTTGGAGTGATGTATCTGGGCATCATTCCTGACCAGCTCTGTGTGTGTAAATATTTCAATTTCACTGAACTTGTATTCTCATCTGTAAGATTAAAAATTGACCTTGTCGCGCGCCTGGGTGGCTCAGTTGGTTAAGCGACTGCCTTCGGCTCAGGTCATGATCCTGGAGTCCTGGGATCGAGTCCCGCGTCGGGCTCCCTGCTCGGCAGGGAGTCTGCTTCTCCCTCTGACCCTCCCCCCTCTCATGTGCTCTCTCTCATTCTCTCTCTTTCAAATAAATAAATAAAATCTTAAAAAAAAAAAATTGACCTTGTCCATTTGCAGTAAATTCCCATTGTCCTCCCCCTTCCCTAGCCCTAAGCAACCAATGATCTATTTTTTATCTCTCTAAATTTGTTTATTCTGGACATTTCAAATAAATGGAGTCATACAATATGTGTTTTATTTTGTGACTGTCTTCTTTCACTTAGCATAATTTCAAGTTTTGTCCATGTAGCACATATCAGTATGGTGGTATTATTGGGAGTAAATATTATTACTGTTAACCAAGTATTAGTTCCCTACATGTTCTGAATTTTATGGGAGTATTTTCTGAGTCATTTCTTTGGAATCTAACAAGTTTGTAAGGAACTTGAGGGAGGTGGGTAGCAGAGGAGATAAAAGATTATTTGGCATCACAACTGGACAGCTACATGCAAAAGAATGAAAGTGGGCCACTTTCTTACACCATATACAAAAATAAACTCAAAATAGATTAAAGACCTAAATGTGAGATCTGAAACCATTAACTCTTGGAAGAAAACATAAGCAGTAATCTCTTGGGTATCAGCCTCAGCAACATATTTATGCATATGTCTCTTCAGGCAAGGAGAACAAAAGCAAAAATATTGGGACTACACCCAAATAAAAAGCTTTTGCACAGCAAAGGAAACTATCAAAAAAACAAAAAGGCAACCTCGTGAATGGGAGAGAGATTTGCAAGTGATATATCTGGTAAGGGGTTAATATTCAAAACATATAAAGAACTTAATACAACTCAACACCCAAAAAATAAAACAATCCGATTAAAAAATGGGCACACCACCTGAATAGACATTTTTCCAAAAAGACCTACCGATAGCCAACAGATAACATGAAAAGATGCTCAACATCACTAATCATTAGAGAAATGCAAATTAAAGCCACAATGAGATATCACCTTACACCAGTCAGAATGGCTGGTATCAAAAAGACAAGTGTTGGTGAGGACATGGAGAAAAGGGAATCCTCGTGCATTGTTGGTGGGAATATAAATTGGTGTAACCACTGTGGAAAACAGTATGGAGGTTCCTCAGAAAATTAGAGATATAGTCAGTAATATTCTATAACATTGTATGGTGACCATAGTTACCACAGTGAACATTGAGTAATGTATAAACTTGTTGAATCCTTGTTGTACATCTGAAACAAATATAACATTGTATGTTAATTATACTTCAATTAAAACAGTGTTGATGGAGAGGAAAAGGGTTATTTGTCATGAGGATTATACCTATATATGCTGATATACTACCTCTAGGATCAGCATATCTGTTGAGTTGGGGTGGATGGGGGAGCAAGTGTAATTTTAAGTGTTAGCTTTACATTCAGAAATTATTGACAATCCCTTCTCCAGTATTTGCTGTATTCTCTTCATGTTTATGGTAAATAAAATATAAAGGAACATAAAAAAAGATGGGACCCCAGGCATATAGAGAGAGGTGTTTGTGTATATATATATATATCATATACGCTGATCCTTAACGGCCATTATTATACGTGAGATGGCAGTAGGTGATAAAGCAGCAACAGCTGTAGCCAATGAGAAGTGGGATGCACAGCAGTACAACATAGCATATCTTTGGAAGGTTGGGGAGGGACAACTTTGTAGCAACAAATGGATAATGCCTGTCAGGCAAGATTAACATGTCATACTTTTAAGGTTTGAGTCTGAGGGAGAGTCAATTCTTCTTTTAAAATGTTATAAATTATAAAAATTATATGAATTTTAAAAATTACAAAATTTTACAAAATTTTAAGTAATATTTTTTCATGAGTAAAAATAAAATCCATGTTTATAATGGGAAAAAATGGAAAAGAAGTGAATCACAAAAAAGAAGAACTATAATCTTATCTCCCAGAGATAATTGATTAGCATTTTGGTGACTTTTCTTGTGTGTGTTTTTTTTTTTTTCCCCCAGAATATATCCAGGAGTAGGTATGTGGCATATATATTCGAATTGAGATAAAACTACACTTTTTTTTTTAAGATTTTATTTATTTATTTGACAGAGACACAGCAAGAGAAGGAACACAAGCAGGGGGAGTGGGAGAGGGAGAAGCAGGCTTCCCGCTGAGCAGGGAGCCCGATGCGGGGCTCGATCCCAGGACCCCCGGATCATGACGTGAGCCGAAGGCAGACACTTAATGACTAAGCCACCCAGGCGCCCCTGAACTACGTATTTTTTTTTAAAAGATTTTATTTATTTATTGACAGACACAATGAGAGGGAACACAAACAGGGGGAATGGGAGAGGGAGAAGCAGTCTTCCCGCAGCGCAGGGAGCCCAATGCGGGGCTCGATCCCAGGCTCCTGGGATCATGACCTGAGCCAAAGGCAGATGCTTAACGACTCAGCCACCCAGGCACCCCTCAAACTATGTATTTTATAAATTGCTTTTTAAAAAACCTAATAGATCCTGAATGTATTATTTTTTAGTAATCAATTAATTACAGAGTCAAGTATTTCACCTGTAACAAATTTTAACATTTGCAAGAAATTCTGTCATTTGGATAAACCAGAATTTCTCTAGTCAATCTCTCACTATTAAACAGAGTGAGTAAATTTTAGTATATTACTAAGTTTTTGAAAAGGCCCAAATTAGTTCAGTATTCCATAGCATTATACATATTTTTTTAACCACTGGTATACTTCATAAGTTGAAATTTTGCTCTAAAAAATGTGAATGTTAAGACTGCTGCATTTTGCTGTTCTCCAAATGTCAGATGTATCTGCAAAACTTCCTTTTTTAAATGGAAAGTATTTGTGCATTCTAAATTAATGGTGTAAACGTGAAGACTTTCAAATAACTGCAGGAATTAGGACAACAGCAAAGATTAAAGAAGCATTAGTTTCTTCATGAACTTAGAAGGAATAGAAATCAGTAGTATTTATAACAGTTCATCATTATTAAACCAATTATTTCTCCCCTTAAATCATACACTTCCTAAGGTCTGGTAGGTACATGGTCTGTGGTTAAAGATCCAATAGTATGGCTTTCATATGATAAACTAGATTATTGGCTCCTTCCCTGTGCACCATAACACTCCACACATTACACTGATAGTATGATTTAGTGGAGATCTGTTGATGGCAGAATTCTAGCCATAGTCTTTAATAGGCAGTTGTTACACAGTCCAGGAAAAACTTGGCACAAGCAAGGTAGGATAGCAGGACTGTTTATTAGAGAGATTTTGGGAAGAGATCAAAGCAGAAGGCTGGTTGCCCAACACTGGGGAGGGAAGAGTTGAGCTGTGACTCATACTCATCATGGTCCTCTAGGGATCATCTCTGGAGGCACAAGGTCTGGGGTTTGATTGGCCACCTGGTGCTTGGGAGATGGGTGCCCTAAATTAGCCAAGAGGTCCTTGGACTGAGGCTGTTCATTCATTCCTTAGTTTATGCCCTGTGGACTCAGGAACCTATAACAGGACAGCTGCAGTAGGATCAGTTTTGGGGTGTTGAGGAAGGCACTCATGGTAAATGTTATATCAAGCCATCTGTATCTTCTTGCTCATTTTCATGTTTCTGGTATCCCCCTAATGATGGTCTTGCATCTTCACTTTCTTCTGGTCTCTTCAAGATAGTTGATGTCTACCCTTTTGATTTCACACTTTTTCCCTCCATTCACAAAGGTTTTAAATACAAGGAAAAAAACAAATTGTGTATAGAATTTCTTTTTTAGCCTTTTGACTAATTTCTGAGTGGAATGTGGTAGAGAGAAGATATTTGGTAGAGTCCCATTTTCTGTCTCAGTTTCACTATTAATCAGACAGATATTTGGAATTTGTTTTTCCTTAATAGCAATATTGTGTGAAGATTAATGAACTTATGTTCATGAACTACTTTGTGTTAATTGTGAAAAATTTTAATATGATTGTATGATAGTTCTTCCATATCCATTTTTAATATCCCATTGCCACTTTCACAGCTGTCAAGATACCTTCAATTTATGCCTACAATCATTATCTTCTTTTTATTTTACAATGGAAATGAATTTATTCTCTGAGAATACAGAATCATTATAAAAGCCTTCAAACAGTACACTGAAACAAAGTCCCAGCTAGCCTATTTATCATGCACTTGAGGAAATATCCTTTTATTCTTAGTTCACAAAGAGGTTTGTTTATTTTTTAAAATCAGAGATGAATGACAATTTTTGAAAAAAATTTAAAAATCAACTCTTCAATCCATTAATGAATGACATCAGTTGATTTCTTCATGTTACCCTTTGTTTTATGGAAATAAAACCTATGCCATATTTAATTTACTGATATTTGACTTAGGAATTTTCATTAGTATTCACAAGGGAAGTGGTCTACACGTTTCCTGTCCCTCTCACCTTGTTATTATGAAAGTTTTCATGGGTAGTTTCTTTGTGTTTTAGGGGGAGGGAGGTTAACACTTTGTCAGGCTTTTGGATCAGGATTGTGCCAGCCTCATAAATTAATTTGGAAGCTTATTACTATTTTTTGCCTATGCTTTGGGACCATTTGCAAATGGTGGGCACTACCTATCCCTTAAAGATTGGCAGAACTTGCCTGTAAAATCAGCTAGGACTGGTATCTTGTTCGTGATAGATCCTTGACAACAATGGAAAATTTCTGTGAAGGCTTATCTAAAGGCTTTTGACCATTATCTTTTTAGTAGATATCAGTATAAAGTTCTTGCTTGTCCTGGTTAATGCATTTTGCTTTGAATTCTTTTTTTTTTTTTTAAAGATTTTATTTATTTGAGATAGAGAGCAAGAGCACAAGCAGGGGGAGAGGCAGAGGGAGAGGGAGAAGCAGGCTCCCAGATGAGCAGGGATTCTGATATGGGGGCTTGATCCTAGAGCCCTGAGATCATGACCTGAGCCGAAGGCAGACGCTTAATAGACTGAGCCACCCAGGCGCCCCCATTTTGGTTTGAATTCTACATTGATAGTAACATTGTCTGCTTTATGTCTATACAAAGACTTTGTACATACATGTTCTTAACCAAAACCTGGAAGCAACCCAATATCCATCAACAGGTGAATGGAAAAATAAATTGTGATATATTCATGCAGTGAGCTACTACTCAGCAACATGCAAAAAAATGAACTATTAATACATGTAACAACCTGGGTGGATCTTAGTTATGCAGAATGAAAGAA